ATTACAGAAGAATAGCCAAGAATTTCCAGAATGAAAACATACACTGGAACGCAAAACTTTAATTTGGGATTAAAGAATACAGCTACTCTATTTGCCCAAAGTTCAATGCATCTAAAAATTATCACAGCCCAAAGTGGCAAGCTAACATTCAGAAAAACAAATCTTTGACCTTCATTTTATCTGTATGAAAGGAGATCTCCAAAATATGGTGAGAAGAAATCACCAAATAACATGCAGTGTCATCAATCCTACTAGTTTACTTTAATGTCCAAGGGGCACATCTCAGCTGCTACCACAGGACTGCAAGACTGTATTTGAAACACGAGGAAAACTCTAAGTCTTTTGTACCTTCTCTGTAAACCACTAAAACTGAGCAAACATAGACTTTTGGGGTTTTTTTTGGTAGCAGATGTAGGTAGGATTTCTTAGAGGCAACTTTCCAGTTTATTTAAAAAAGAAAGTGAACTATAACCCTTGGATGGATAGATGACTCACTCAGAAGGTAACAGAAGAAATTTACCTTTAAAAATTAAGGCTCCTTCCCCACTTTTCTAAAGCCAGCATCTTTTCTTAGTATCTTCTTTCTTCTTTTTAAACAGAATAAAATATAGTAAGGGTAATTTACCAAAAAGCTCAAACAGCCACTAAACTCAACTACCAGAATAATTCTTAAAAGAAACCCTTCATTACAGAAAAACATAACACGAAATCCCCAGTCCTAGCAAACACTCCCTTCCCTCACTGACCTGTTATTTATTATTCAGCTGTAAAAATAAACTTGGTGCTTGCTTTGTAGGAAACACTGCAGGTGGGAGAGGTTAACTCATTAAGATCCAGCAGAAAAATCTCTTTCTTTTAGTCATTTTTATTTATTTCAAGGCTGAAGGACTTGATTAAAAATGCATTAAAAAATTGTTGATTTTAATGTGATGCTCCTAAAACCTTAGCATTGTTTGTGTACCAGGTATTGACCTATAAGAAAGCAAAAGCAGATGGGGATTACAAAAACCTGAACTGCTATTACTATTCCAATATGAAAAGTTAGTAAAAGCCTTGAAAAGAATAGCTATGTTTTTTCAAATTAATATTCCATATCTGGAGACTATCTTATGTGGAATAGGTTTGTTTGGTTTTGGTTTATTTTTGGAGTTAAGCATTAAGTATTAAAAGATCATCTGTTCATCTTCCACAATTATGTGGCTTGACAAGCTTGATATTTGCACAGTGGTGATAATTACTATATTTACATACATATGATTTACTGTGCTTTGATTCTGTGTAAACAACCATAGTTTTATTTTCCAAAGGCCAGGCATGTAGTAAGAACTGTATATTTTTCTATTTTTCTTTTGTTTTGCAAGATATATAATAACATTATGAAATAGCCAATTTCCAAGAATTAGTTAAAAGAGTGCACTTTTAATTTATGGTATTAACTTCCTGTTTTCCTGGTACTAAAGTGAAAAAGGGTCATACTGAGAGCCAGTTTACCTCAGTTCATAGTGAGGACTCTGCAGACCTCATGGATCCCTTCTAAAAACGTCTTCTCCCACCTCCCATAAGTATTTTTTCAGAAACTGCTTAGGCCTGCTCATGCTGACTTTTGGGGATTATCCCCACTTCAAATATGATGTTTATCTTCCTGGCCCATGTTAATGAACAGGGATCTTCGGAATTTAGAAAGCCTGAGACTTTTGATTTTAAACACTTTATTAAGAGGTGTTTGTTCTTAGAACTACAGAGGCTGATCACCCACCACCCCACTACCATCTGTACTAACAATAGCTTTATCTTGAAGCTAGGATCAGGACTAGAGTCCACTTCCTATTTCTGATAGTTTGTTTACACCTTTTACAAAAAGCTTGCATTGTCATGGTAGCAAAAGCACAGGTCTAGAGGTAATAACAATGAAAAAAGGACTAAATTAAACTGATAATGGGTATCTGAAGCTTACAGCACAACTACATGACCTATTAGTGCAGCGATAAGCAAACAATGACAGGCTGCCGTTAGTTTTGTGTGAAGTTGTATTGACTACGATAATATTTTAATGTTAATAAATCTCATCATAAACTGAAAGTACAGGCTCAAATATGCAACACGGAAAGACAGAACATGAAACCACTCATGCTCCAACAGCATGCTTGGCCTATTGCAGTTTGTAAAGACTGCTAAAAGTCGTCTTTCAAAAAGATGGGGGCAGGGGACCCTTTCCCCACCTCCCCTCCAAAGAGGTGTCATTTTGGTTTATCTCAGAAGCTGTTGCATACTTGTTTGGATGAACTAAACTTATTGCCCTTCTTCAAATCCCGACACAAGAAACGGCATCAGCAGGGCACTTATGATGCAATGTTCTGGTGTAAACGTACTACAGAAATAGGCAAGATTGTCAGATTATATTTTCAAGGGTTTTTTGCTTAGAGGGCTTTTAAAAAGTGTTTAGAACAGAAGCTGAGATATTTTTTTAACCTTCTGTCCCCAGCGCTTCAGACCTGTACTTGACCCAAGGTGACTGCCAAGATGGGAGCCATAAGGCTCACCCATCCCCCAACCGCAAAGCCCGTCAGAAAGAAAACAAAACGCAAGTGACCCGGTGAAAGAAAGGGGAACCGGCACCTTCCTGAACAGCGCCTCAGATGCCGCGGTTTCAGTATGCAAAGTCAACGCAGCTATACCACCTCACAGCGTTTCCTCGCCTTCCCTCGGGCACAGCTGCTGGCGGAGCGGCTCTAAACGAGATCGAGGAACCGCTGCAGCGTGCAAAAGAAAACAAAGATTCACAGATTTATTTTTTAAGGGTTCCTTTTAGGTATTAAGGGCACTCCTCCCGGCCCCCTCTAACAGCTCCTCAACGGAAGGCAGGCAGCTGGTGAAGGCCCGGCCTCGGTGGCGCTTCCCTTCAGCGAGGCCGCAGCCCCAACAGGGCCTCGACTCTAGGCTGGGCTGGGCTGGGCTGGGCTGGGCGGGGCCGGGCCGGGCTGCGGGGGGCAGC